CACAGGAAATAGTCACAGTCAATCTCAAAAGTTAATTGCAGTTTTTGTTTTGAACTGGTAGAGGACATATTTTAGTAAAGTCCCTTTTTAATGTCCCATTTGCGGTATAAATTTCACACACACGCGATACATGGTCTTTGCCGGGAAACACCTTTGACACTCTTCCTAATCGCCAATTCAAGGGTGGTAACTTATCGTCCTTAATGAGCACCAATGTGCCCACTTGTAGTTCGCCGCTGCTTATTTGCCACTTTGTACGTTGCTGCAACTCAGAAATGTACTCCTTGTACCACCGTTTCCAAAACAGCTGGCGAAGTTGCTCTAGACGTTCGTATCTGGACAGACGGTTTTCATTGAGATGACTCAAATCTGGTGATAATACTGTGGATACAGGTCTTCCAACAAGAAAGTGAGCGGGTGTCAAAGGTGAAGGATCTAATGGGTCAGTTGACAAGGGTGAGAGAGGACGGGAATTGAGAATTGCCTCTATCTGGCAAAGTATGGTTTCCAACTCCTCCCATATACAATGCGAATTGCCCAAAACTCTTTTCAAATGAAATTTCATGGCCTTAACCCCGGCCTCCCACAGACCTCCAAAGTGTGGTGCATATGCTGGCCCAAAATGCCACTTTATACCTTGATTATTAATAGAATCATTTAAAGCCCCTTAATTTTTAACGAAAAATTCTTGAAGCTCCAATAATTCTCGGTTTGCCCCAACGAAATTGGACCCGTTATCTGAATAAAGGTGCGTCGGTTTCCCTCGACGGCTAATGAACCTTCGTAAAGCTAAAAGAAACCCCTCCGTGGAGAGATCAGAGACCAACTCCAAGTGAATCGCCTTAGTCGCGAAGCATATAAAAAGGCAAATATAGCATTTTATTAACTTGGAACCTCGCCCGCGTTTATTCAATATAAAAACCGGCCCGGCATAATCAATTCCACTCACCTGGAACGGAAAACCTGAAACAAACCTATCTTTTGGAAGACTACCCATAATGGGCTCTATAATCTTAGGCTTAAACCTATAACATCTGAAACAGTTATGAACCACCGATTTTGCCAAATTTCTGGCTGATATGATCCAAAAATTTTCGCGCACACTATATAGTAACTGTTGCGGTCCCGCATGCATTAATAATTTATGTTCAGCTTCAAATATCAACTTTGCAATATGATGTTTGGCGGACAGCAACATTGGATGTTTTTTATTATAGGGTAAATCTGAATTTCCTAAACGACCACCCACTCGAATTATTCCAAACTCATCCAAAAATGGATTTAAACTCAAAATACTGCTTTTATTGCTTATTTTCCCTTTTTTCATCAAATCGTCATATTCATATGGAAAAGACACGCATTGGGAAAGTTTTACTAAAAACTCCATAGCCTTTTCTAACTCCAATGGTGACAAGACATCGCAATTCCGATTTTTCTCATTAGTAAGGACAGCAAGACAATTAGTTTTGAAACGTAGAACATATGCCATACATCGTTTCAATCGCATTAATGTGCAAAACTTTTTGAATGGAAACTCTAAGTATGAGGAAACTGACAACAAACAATTGACCTTTAATTCGGGTAAATCAATATTCGTTTCAGCTTTATGAGGTTTTGGCCACATCGTTTCATCATGAACTAACCAGGTCGGTCCATGCCACCATAAAGTTGAATCGGCAATTTTTCGTGGACTGACACCCCTACTGAGCAAATCGGCGGGATTTTCAGAGGTGGATACATAATTCCAGTCGGTAACATTGGTCAACTCTTGTATTTCAGCCACCCTATTTCTTACAAACGGTTTTAACAAATTAGCTGAAGTACTAATCCAACCTAAAATAACCTTAGAATCAGTCCAGTAAAACCGTCTATCGAAATTAATTCGCAAAGAAGATACAACCTTAGTGACCAATTTAGCCAAAATATGAGCGGCACACAATTCTAACCTAGCAATAATAATAGGTTTGATCGGTGCGACTTTCGTTTTCGAGCAAAGTAAATGGGAAAATTTTTCTCCTTCACTATTTTCAGACAAAATATAGACACACGCCCCATAAGCAATCTCACTGGCATCTGAAAATGCGTGTAACTCGATACGCACTGGATTCAAACAAATAACATGTCGCTGAACCTGTAGATCATTTAAACATGGAAGGGCATTGATGAACTCATTCCAAGAACTCTCTAATTCAGGAGAAACTTTATCGTCCCAGCCTAATTTTTCTTGCCATAATTTTTGCAGCATGACCTTAGCCAAAATAACACATGGACTCACCAAAGAAAGGGGATCAAACAATTTGGAAATGCAAGACAACATTGTTCGCTTAGTCAAATCCTGATTACTAGGCATCTCGCTAGGCACATTAATTGTATAAGCCAATTTGTCAACCCTACTAAACCATACTAAACCAAGAGTTTTGGTGACTTCACTCTCACCGAATTCCAACTCTTCTGACTGATCTGCGTAAGCTGATGTTTTTAAATTTTCCAAAATTTCTGGGGCGTTGCTTCGCCATTTCCTCAAATGGAAGGCACCTGATGCAAGAACATTCGCCAATTCGACACAGCTACCTTTAGCAATCTCCTTATCTTGAAAACCAGTGAGTACGTCATCGACGTAAAAATCATGCTCGATTATTTCACTAATTGCTGGTTTTTCAACCTGGCATTCTTTTGATAATTCAAACAAACAACGAATCGCAAGGAACGGAGAACTAGTTAAACCGAAAGTTACTGTACACAACTCATAAATTGACAACTCTTGATCGGGTTTATTCCGCCATAAAATGCGTTGAAGTTTGCATTGCTCTGATGTCACCCTCACCTGATTATACATCTTGGCTACATCTGCTGTTACCACATAAGCATGTTGCCTAAATCGCAATAAAATCGCCCAAAGATCGTCTTGAATGACGGGCCCTTTCATTTGAAGATCATTCAACGACACGCCACTTGTCGTAGGCGTTGAACCATCAAATACGACTCTTAACTTTGTAGTTTTGCTTTCTGCTCTATAGATACCATGATGGGGCAAGTAATAAGCCACATCCATTGTGCCAACATTTTCTAACTCAACTTCACGCATCTGACCCAATTCTTTATAGCTCTCCAGAAACTCAGTGTACATTTTCTTAAAGTTTTCATTTTTATTAAATTTTCTTTCTAATGAATAGAAACGACGTTTAGCTTGGTCTAAAGACTCCCCTAAACACTCAACTGGTCTTTTAAGAGGTATCAAAACTTCAAAGCGACCATTCGAAAGACGCTTAGTATTTTTTACAAAATGAGCCTCGCATTCGATTTCTTCTGCAGACCATTGACCCTTAGCGGGGACGTCTTCAACTTCAAAAAACCGTGCCAGTTGGGTTTGAACGTCACAATTATTATTTTCTATATTTTTGGAGAAATTGCAAAATGTTTTATTGTCGATTTTATTACCCCATGCGACGCCACTGACTCTTCCCGAAATAACCCATCCCAGCTGAGTTTCTGTTAAAACTGATTGTTTAAACCCAAACTATATTGTCTAGTATCTAGAATATTCCAGAACAAATCTGCACCAATAAGAGCATCCACTGGCCCCGGTTTGTTGAAGTTTTCATCCGCGAGCTTTAAATGATGAGAAATTGGAAATCGGTTGATATCTACTGGTGCAACTGGCAAATTTCCTGTTATCTCCGGAATAACTAAGCACATCAAATGAGTCTTGAAATTATTGTGTCGTGAAGCTAAGCTAATTTTGCATCGGTAGTTCAATTTTGAAATAGCATTATTTATTCCTACAACGACAAAATCAATTTTCTGTTTATCCAATTTTAATTTATTGCACAAAATTTCTGTAATATAAGAAGACTGCGATCCAGAATCAAGAACGGCTCGCACTGGAAAAGCAGTTCCGTTTTTGTCAAAAACATTAAAAACCGCAGTTGATAGCAAAGTCTGATTACTGTCTAAATGCATAGTTGAGCTACAAAATGTCTTAGACACATCATTTTCATTATTTTTGACCATATTCTGTTCATTTTGAGATTCATTTTGGGGATTTGTATTGGACTCGTTTATGTGAAGCAGTGTATTATGATGTTTAGAATGACAAGTTTTACAAGAGCCATATAAACGACAATTTTTACTGAAATGTCCAGTGCGAAGACACTTTGTACACAATTTCAACTTCTTAACTTGTTCATTCCTTTCAGGTACTGAAAACGATTGAAATTTTTGACAAAGATGAACCGGATGTTCACCTAAACAAATAACACATCTTTTCAAATTAGTTTCACATTTTTCTGATTGAGAGGATGTGAGAAAGCTTTTTGATTTGCCTTTTTTAAAGGAATGGTCCGAGGAATGACCTCTCTCTGATTTATTAAGCTCTAAGCGCTCCAATAAATCTATTTTTTAGAAAATCAAACATGTCTTGCAACGAAGGAGTATCAATTGTGAACTTAAATTCTTCCCATTTAGCAACTGAAAAATCATCCAAACTTTTTGCAATTATATGGGTAATTAAAACATCCCAGTGGCTTGTAGGCAATTTTAGTGATTCTAGAGCTCTCAAATGTTTGGAAACTGTATCAATAATTTTTCTGAAATTACTCGAAGTTGCGGTATATTTATCAAGTTTTCCTAACGAAAATGAAGCTTCAACATGGTTATGAACTAATAACTTTTTGTTTTCAAAACGAGAACACACTAAGTTCCAGGCGGTGTCATAATTGTCGGCGGTAAACTCTAGAGATTTAATTACTTGTGCTGAGCTACCCTCAAGAGATGCTCTTAGGTAGTGAAATTTCTGAATGTTGTTGATACCTACATTGTCGTGTATTAAACTAGTAAATAAATCACGAAATTTTAACCAGGATTCATGAGAACCGTTGAAAACTGGTAGCTTTATATCAGGCAATTTCACCCCCCTTGATATTGGCACATTATTCGCGGTGTTACCAACACCAGAGTTGGCCCCTGAACCCCCGATCCGTTTGATACATGAGAATTGTTATCTAATATAAAGGGTTCAATCTCATTGAGCAAAACCTTTGCTTCTGCAATATTTGTATAAAATTCGTCTTCAAATTTATTTGTTCATTTAAATCAAGGGCGAGTTGCTCAATTTCAACTTGAACTGGCTCAAAAGAGTCATCATACAAATTCACAATTTTATTTAAACGTTCTTGAAATTGAACCTTATCTGAATCTTTTATTTCAGACCCCGCATTTTTTAAGCCTTGAATTTTAGCAACATAATTAGCAAAGTTAGTTAATTTTCCTTTTATACAACCCCTTTTTTTAATAAGAGATTTAAATTCGTTAGCGGATGCTGGGTCGGTTGCCATTTCACTTAGGTAAACAATCAGTTTATAATTTAAAAAACGTTAAATGAATGCCCGTAACCTCAACAAAATTATACCATACTCCGCCAGAAAGAGCGGTGTGAAGTTAGCTGACAAATAGTTAGCTGCCAAAGTGCCGATGATTGCCGAACCACCATGGGCGGAGGTCAACAATTTAAATGAAATAAATTAATTCAATACTTTAGCAACAATTGAAAAATACTTGAAATTATACAATCTGAATGTATTTTCAATTAAAATGAACAAATAAATATATTCCAGTAGAATAACAACTAATAGTCCTGTAAAATAACAACAAATTAAAACAAAAATAATATGTAAAAAAATCAGGACAATTTTCTTTCACCGAATTTCGAAGCTGATTTTGAAGAACAGACCCCACGCCACAATTTAACACCCCACTCGACCCCCCAGTCCCCTCAATAGACCGGTGAAATAAGAAACAAGACAAAAAGAAATTGTAAAAAATCGAAGACAATTTTGTTTCACCAAATTTCGAGATTAATTTGGAAGAATAGAATCCACTCCACAATTTGACACCCCATTTGACCCCCCAGTCCCCTCAATAGACCGGTAAAATCAGAAACACGACAAAAAAAAATTCTAAAAAATCGAAGACAATTTTGTTTTACCAAATTTCGAGATTTATTTGAAAGAACAGACTCCACTCCACAATTTAATGCCCATTCGACTTCCTAGTTCCCTCAATAGTCCGGTAAAATAATAAATATGACAAAAAAAAATTTAATGAAATAATTTTTGTAACAAGTATAGGTACAGTTGCGATAAAAAAAAAGTACCACCTAAAATTTGCTTGGCCTCGGCTACGCCTCGGCCGCAAATTTCTGATTCGGCCAAAAAAGATCAACTTTACGGCCTTGGCACACAAATAACTATTTTGGTTATGAATTAAATTAATTAATAATAGACCAGGAAATTTTGGAGATTAAAATGTACTACTTTTTTTTTATCGCAACTGTACCTATACTTGTTCCAAAAGTATTTCATTAAATTTTTTTTTGTCGTATTTATTATTTTACCGGACTATTGAGGGAACTAGGAAGTCGAATGGGCATTAAATTGTGGAGTGGAGTCTATTCTTCCAAATTAATCTGGAAATTTGGTGAAACAAAATTGTCTTCGATTTTTTAGAATTTTTTTTTGTCGTGTTTCTGATTTTACCGGTCTATTGAGGGAACTGGGGGGTCAAATGGAGTGTCAAATTGTGGAGTGGAGTCTATTCTTCCAAATTAATCTGGAAATTTGGTGAAACAAAATTTTCTTCGATTTTTTAGAATTTTTTTTTGTCGTATTTCTAATTTTACCGGTCTATTGAGGGGACTGGGGGGTCAAATGGGGTGTCAAATTGTGGAGTGGAGTCTATTCTTCCAAATTAATCTGGAAATTTGGTGAAACAAAATTGTCTTCGATTTTTTAGAATTTTTTTTTTGTCGTATTTCTAATTTTACCGGTCTATTGAGGGGACTGGGGGGTCAAATGGGGTGTCAAATTGTGGAGTGGAGTCTATTCTTCCAAATTAATCTGGAAATTTGGTGAAACAAAATTGTCTTCGATTTTTTAGAATTTTTTTTTGTCGTGTTTCTGATTTTACCGGTCTATTGAGGGAACTGGGGGGTCAAATGGAGTGTCAAATTGTGGAGTGGAGTCTATTCTTCCAAATTAATCTGGAAATTTGGTGAAACAAAATTTTCTTCGATTTTTTAGAATTTTTTTTTGTCGTATTTCTAATTTTACCGGTCTATTGAGGGGACTGGGGGGTCAAATGGGGTGTCAAATTGTGGAGTGGAGTCTATTCTTCCAAATTAATCTGGAAATTTGGTGAAACAAAATTGTCTTCGATTTTTTAGAATTTTTTTTTTGTCGTATTTCTAATTTTACCGGTCTATTGAGGGGACTGGGGGGTCAAATGGGGTGTCAAATTGTGGAGTGGAGTCTATTCTTCCAAATTAATCTGGAAATTTGGTGAAACAAAATTGTTTTCGATTTTTTAGAATTTTTTTTTGTCGTGTTTCTGATTTTACCGGTCTATTGAGGGAACTGGGGGGTCAAATGGGGTGTCAAATTGTGGAGTGGAGTCTATTCTTCCAAATTAATCTGGAAATTTGGTGAAACAAAATTGTCTTCGATTTTTTAGAATTTTTTTTTGTCGTATTTCTAATTTTACCGGTCTATTGAGGGGACTGGGGGGTCAAATAGGGTGTCAAATTGTGGAGTGGAGTCTATTCTTCCAAATTAATCTGGAAATTTGGTGAAACAAAATTGTCTTCGATTTTTTAGAATTTTTTTTTGTCGTATTTCTAATTTTACCGGTCTATTGAGGGGACTGGGGGGTCAAATGGGGTGTCAAATTGTGGAGTGGAGTCTATTCTTCCAAATTAATCTGGAAATTTGGTGAAACAAAATTGTCTTCGATTTTTTAGAATTTTTTTTTTGTCGTATTTCTAATTTTACCGGTCTATTGAGGGGACTGGGGGGTCAAATGGGGTGTCAAATTGTGGAGTGGAGTCTATTCTTCCAAATTAATCTGGAAATTTGGTGAAACAAAATTTTCTTCGATTTTTTAGAATTTTTTTTTGTCGTATTTCTAATTTTACCGGTCTATTGAGGGGACTGGGGGGTCAAATGGGGTGTCAAATTGTGGAGTGGAGTCTATTCTTCCAAATTAATCTGGAAATTTGGTGAAACAAAATTGTCTTCGATTTTTTAGAATTTTTTTTTTGTCGTATTTCTAATTTTACCGGTCTATTGAGGGGACTGGGGGGTCAAATGGGGTGTCAAATTGTGGAGTGGAGTCTATTCTTCCAAATTAATCTGGAAATTTGGTGAAACAAAATTGTTTTCGATTTTTTAGAATTTTTTTTTGTCGTGTTTCTGATTTTACCGGTCTATTGAGGGAACTGGGGGGTCAAATGGGGTGTCAAATTGTGGAGTGGAGTCTATTCTTCCAAATTAATCTGGAAATTTGGTGAAACAAAATTGTCTTCGATTTTTTAGAATTTTTTTTTGTCGTATTTCTAATTTTACCGGTCTATTGAGGGGACTGGGGGGTCAAATAGGGTGTCAAATTGTGGAGTGGAGTCTATTCTTCCAAATTAATCTGGAAATTTGGTGAAACAAAATTGTCTTCGATTTTTTAGAATTTTTTTTTGTCGTATTTCTAATTTTACCGGTCTATTGAGGGGACTGGGGGGTCAAATGGGGTGTCAAATTGTGGAGTGGAGTCTATTCTTCCAAATTAATCTGGAAATTTGGTGAAACAAAATTGTCTTCGATTTTTTAGAATTTTTTTTTTGTCGTATTTCTAATTTTACCGGTCTATTGAGGGGACTGGGGGGTCAAATGGGGTGTCAAATTGTGGAGTGGAGTCTATTCTTCCAAATTAATCTGGAAATTTGGTGAAACAAAATTGTCTTCGATTTTTTAGAATTTTTTTTTGTCGTGTTTCTGATTTTACCGGTCTATTGAGGGAACTGGGGGGTCAAATGGAGTGTCAAATTGTGGAGTGGAGTCTATTCTTCCAAATTAATCTGGAAATTTGGTGAAACAAAATTTTCTTCGATTTTTTAGAATTTTTTTTTGTCGTATTTCTAATTTTACCGGTCTATTGAGGGGACTGGGGGGTCAAATGGGTGTCAAATTGTGGAGTGGAGTCTATTCTTCCAAATTAATCTGGAAATTTGGTGAAACAAAATTGTCTTCGATTTTTTAGAATTTTTTTTTGTCGTATTTCTAATTTTACCGGTCTATTGAGGGGACTGGGGGGTCAAATAGGGTGTCAAATTGTGGAGTGGAGTCTATTCTTCCAAATTAATCTGGAAATTTGGTGAAACAAAATTGTCTTCGATTTTTAGAATTTTTTTTTGTCGTGTTTCTGATTTTACCGGTCTATTGAGGGAACTGGGGGGTCAAATGGAGTGTCAAATTGTGGAGTGGAGTCTATTCTTCCAAATTAATCTGAAATTTGGTGAAACAAAATGTCTTCGATTTTTTAGAATTTTTTTTTGTCGTGTTTCTGATTTTACCGGTCTATTGAGGGAACTGGGGGGTCAAATGGAGTGTCAAATTGTGGAGTGGAGTCTATTCTTCCAAATTAATCTGGAAATTTGGTGAAACAAAATTTTCTTCGATTTTTTAGAATTTTTTTTTGTCGTATTTCTAATTTTACCGGTCTATTGAGGGGACTGGGGGGTCAAATGGGGTGTCAAATTGTGGAGTGGAGTCTATTCTTCCAAATTAATCTGGAAATTTGGTGAAACAAAATTGTCTTCGATTTTTTAGAATTTTTTTTTTGTCGTATTTCTAATTTTACCGGTCTATTGAGGGGACTGGGGGGTCAAATGGGGTGTCAAATTGTGGAGTGGAGTCTATTCTTCCAAATTAATCTGGAAATTTGGTGAAACAAAATTGTCTTCGATTTTTTAGAATTTTTTTTTTGTCGTGTTTCTGATTTTACCGGTCTATTGAGGGAACTGGGGGGTCAAATGGAGTGTCAAATTGTGGAGTGGAGTCTATTCTTCCAAATTAATCTGGAAATTTGGTGAAACAAAATTTTCTTCGATTTTTTAGAATTTTTTTTTGTCGTATTTCTAATTTTACCGGTCTATTGAGGGGACTGGGGGGTCAAATGGGGTGTCAAATTGTGGAGTGGAGTCTATTCTTCCAAATTAATCTGGAAATTTGGTGAAACAAAATTGTCTTCGATTTTTAGAATTTTTTTTTTTGTCGTATTTCTAATTTTACCGGTCTATTGAGGGGACTGGGGGTCAAATGGGGTGTCAAATTGTGGAGTGGAGTCTATTCTTCCAAATTAATCTGGAAATTTGGTGAAACAAAATTGTCTTCGATTTTTTAGAATTTTTTTTTTGTCGTGTTTCTGATTTTACCGGTCTATTGAGGGAACTGGGGGGTCAAATGGGGTGTCAAATTGTGGAGTGGAGTCTATTCTTCCAAATTAATCTGGA